CACACACACACACACACACACACACACACACACACACACACACACACACACACACGTGTCCTGGGGATGCCTTTGCCACCATCTAAGTTCCCATAACTTCCAGATTTCTGCAAGAACCCCCGAAAAGTTGCCAAAACATGGCGGCATGGCTTACTGTGATTTTGTCCCGGGAAACACACTCAAACATCAGCCGAGCTTTTAAGTATAAGTATAACCTTTATTGTCATTGTACTTAAATACAACGAAATTGGTTTTAAGTGCCTTAACTGAGTTTTTAAAAAGCTTGCAAACTCAAGGAGAAGCAGAAGCTTAGAATAGAATCACAGAGTTGGAAGGGACCTTGGAGGTCTTCTAGTCCAACCCCCTGCTTAGGCAGGAAACCCTACATCACTTCAGACAAAGGGTTGTCCAACATCTTAAAAACGTCCAGTGTTGGCCCATTTACAACTCCTGCAGGCAAGTTGTTCCACTGATTTATTGTTCTCACTGTCAGGAAATTTCTCCTTAGTTCTAAATTGCTTCTCTCCTTGGATTAGTTTCCATCTGTTGCTTCTTGTCCTGCCCTCAGGAAGCAATACAGCTATAAACAACGTGGGAGGGGGTGTGGGGCAGAGGATGTCCTTTTGGGAATTTCTTTCTCTGGATCCACTCTGCTTTTTTCTCAGAACCTAGATCTCTTGAGATCTTGCCAGAAATGGATCCCGTTCATGGCTCTTAATTTTCCCTTCCCTTTGCAGTTCCTAGCTTGGAATAGCCCAGCCCTGACCATCGACTACACAGATCTTTTGCCAGCCCTGCTCAGTCCAGAGAATGCCTTGGAGATGTTCCACTTGCTGCTCGACCTTCCGTGTTTGACCGCTGCACTGGACACCCAGCTCAGGTCCTTTGAATGTTGCCGATCAACTTGTAAAAAGACAAGTTCCGGTTCTTGTGGTGGAAAAAGTCCAAAGAGGTTTCTCATCATTTAGGTCTAGGCCCTGATGTATTGGGTAGGGGGCAAAGCTTTTTAGGAGAAGGGTCAAACCAAGATGCCCAGAAAGGATGAAGGAATCGTGTCAAGAGTTTGTTGCATAAATTCAAATCCAGAAGCAGAAACAGATAACGGATGCAGCTGGATTCATTCACTTCTTTAATATAGATAAGAATAGAGGAAAAAAAGTACGCTACCAACAGGTACATAAATACAAAGCAGGAGACTTACAGACAAACACAAGCAGTTAGTTTCGTTTCAGCAGACAATGGAATTAAGAGTTTGGAATGGAATGGAATAAGAGTTTAGAATAGAATGGAATAGAATAGAATAGAATAAGAGAATGGAATGGAATAAGAGTTTAGAATAGAATAAGAGTTTAGAACAGAATAAGAGTTTGGAATGGAATAAGAGAATAGAATAAGAGTTTAGAATAGAATAAGTTTAAAATAGAATAAGAGTATAGAATAGAATAGAATAAAATAAGAGTTTAGAATAGAATAAGTTTACAATATAATAGAATAAGAGTATAGAATAGAATAGAATAAGTTTAAAATAGAATAGAATAAGTTTAGAATAGAATAGAATAAGTTTAGAATAGAATAGAATAAGTTTAGAATAGAATAGAATAAGTTTAGAATAGAATAGAATAAAATAAGAGTTTAGAATAGAATAAGAGTATAGAATAGAATAAGAGTTTAGAATAGAATAAGAGTTTAGAATAGAATAAGAGTATAGAATAGAATAAGAGTTTAGAATAGAATAAGAGTTTAGAATAGAATAAGAGTATAGAATAGGATAGGATAGACTAGAATAGAATAGAATAGAATAGAATAA